ACTCCACGGCACATAACAACAATTATATTAAACTTCTAGACCTTGATAAATATCCACCCTGAGGATTTCAAGATCATGAGAGCAACTCATCTGCCATTTTGAAGACATCACCTCCTCCAGACAGCCCTCCTTAATACCCTTCTGCTGAGTTCATGCCTTCTCAGTACTTTTATCATTGAAGCAATGATAATAACCAATACTTACTGAAATGTTGGGAGCTCTGGTGGCATAGTGCCTAAGGTATTTGACTGCTAACCAGAAGGCTAGTGGTTCAAACCCACCAGCCACTCCTCAGAAGGAAGGTGGAGCGATCTACTTCCATAGTGATACCGCCTCGGAAATCCAAGGAGGAGTCACTATGAGTCAAAATCAACTTGATGGCAGTGAGTGAGACTGAATATTTACTACATGTTAGGTACTATTCCAAATATTTTGCAGTTTTTAACTCAGCCCTTTGAGGTACGTACTATCATTATCCCCATTTTACAGATGAGAAAGTTGAGGGACAAAGACAGAATCCCATCCCAATCCTGCTAAGGGTGGAGGAATACCTGAGAAGATTCCATTTAAGTTTCCCATCAACTTAAGGTATTGGGGATTCAATGTCAGAATTAAGTTGACTTTAGGAAAGACATGATACATACATTTTAAATTCCTGTTTGCTTTCCCATACTTGATCTTTCCCCTGTCTTGTGTCCACCCCAAGACTAGTGTTTTATTACTAATGATGCAGTACTGTGCATGTAATAGTATTTGCCTCTGTTGTCTATACCTTTTGTGTACCTCTCTGTATCCTCCTTTTTCCTATTGATATTATGCTGGTCACACACTTTTGTTATATTGCCTTTCCCTTCACCTAAATCAACACATGACTCTTAACTAATAGCAATTTTCCCTTCTCACCCCTCCCATCCATGGTAACCAACAAAGTAAACCTTTCCCTGATTTTTTATAATAACAGACTCATTCAATATTTGTCCTTCTGTAGTTGACTTATTTCACTCAGCATAATGTCCTCCAAGTTCATCCACGTAATGAGGTGACTCACAGATTCTTCATTATCCTTTAGGGTTGCACAGTATTCCATTGTGTGTATGTACCATAGTTTAGTTATCTGTTCATCTGTTGATGGGCACTTAAGCTGTTTCCATGTCTTTCCTGTTGTGAACAGTGCTGTGGTGAACATGGATCTGCATATATATCTATTCATGTCCCAGCTCTCACTTATTTAGGATATATACCTAGTAGTGGGTTTGCTGGATCAAATGGTATTTCTATTTCCAACTTTTTAAGGAAGAACCGTACCGTTTTCCACAGTGGTATCATTTTACAGTCCCATCTGCAGTGTATGAGAGTTCCCGTCTCTCCACATCCTCACCAGCATTTCTTGTTTTCTGTCCTGTTGAACTTTGCTATTATTGCTGGGGTGAGATGATATCTCCATGTTGTTTTGTTTTGCATCTTTCTAATGGCTAAGGGGCCCTAGGGGATGGCTTCTGACCTAAGGCAGTCGCCTGCTGAGCACAAGGCTGGCGGTTCAAACCCACCAGCCACTCCCCGCCCTGTAGACCTGGCTGCTGCCGCGGGACCTCTGGTAGCATAGTGGCTAAGGCACTTGACTGCTAAACAGAAGGCTGGCGGTTCAAACCACCAGCCATTCCTCAGAAGGAAGATGGGGCAATCTACTTCTATAGTGATACTGCCTCGGAAACCCAAGGAGGGGTCGCTATCGACAGCACATAACAACAACAATGGCTGAGGACCGTGAGCATTTCCTCATGTGTTTGTTGGCTGTCCGCATCTTTGGTGAAGTGTCTGTTCATGTTCTTTGCCCACTTTTGAGTTGGATTGCTTGTCAAGAGATGATATTTCTTGTTAAACATAATAAATGTACGCATTTTAGAAAAATTACAAAACATAGGAAAATGTAAAGAAGAAAACAGAAACTAGCCACAATCCCATCCTCCCAGAGATTTCATTTTAGATTCTTTTTTAATCTTGACTTGTGACTACATAATTGATAGACTGTACATCCGTGTGTGTGTACACAGAGTGTGTCTATATGTGCCCCACAATGCATACTTGGTGTAGAGACTGATCATTAAGGGGGCAAAAAGAAATGAGAAAATGTCTTTTCTTTTTTCTTCCAAACCAAAGATATCACATATTTATTAATCACTCAATCCCTTAATGCGGAAGCATCAATGGAAAGTCTCCAGAAGTTGCCCCAATGCATGTTCGATTGATCAGATCATGGCGAAATCTCACACTTGACCTGGTAGAAGGAGCGCATGCTGACTCCTTATGGACCCACTTTGGTTCTTCTCCGGTGTCTCCTCTTGGAGTTGTACCTGATTTTCTTACCAGTCTTCATTTGAATCCATTGTGGAATGGGCTGATTCTGCATTTGTTTCTTGGCCAGGAATCTCTTGATCCTGAAAGTCTTATGAGAAGACATAACGAGGAAGGCAGGCAGCCCCCCTCGGCAGGATGGCGGAGAAAGGCAGAGAGAGCAAAGAAGTGTTTTCTCTGTGAGTGCACAGCTGGGGCCATGTACATCTAGTATTGGTGCAGAAGGAGAAAAAAAAAAAAAAAAAAAAAACAGCAGAAAGAACAAGGCTTTCTGGCTCTTTCTCTGCTTCGGAGGGTGATTAGTCTACTCTTCTGAGTTGTGATTCTACGATTTCATAGACCACGAACTAGAAAGGCAGAAAGCGTCTCCGTACCCCTCCAGTGACCCCCGCCGGTCCTCCCCCACTCCAGAGGGCGCTCCGGAGGCGGGTCGCCCGCCCTAGACAGACTCGCGGTGGGAGTATCTGTCCAGGCGGCAGTCTTGCTCTGCCTGAAACAGGTTCTATTTCTTTTTCCACGAAAACAACTTAGTCCTAAATCACTGACGCCTGAAATTAGAAAAATACGAGGCCCATGTTATCATAAAACTATTTTAACACGGCGGGGCCCTCTTGGCAGCAGGAGGGGTGGCCAACCGCTCTACAGCAGCCCTTTCCACTGCAGCCCCTGGAAACGCTCAGAGGAATGAGAAATTTGGTTTTCATTAGCGGCGAATGTGAGGAGTTCTGTCACTCTGAATGGACCTTTGATTCTGGCTGGCGGTGGAATCTTTCCAGGGCCCACTGAGTTTTGTTTTGTTTTGTTTTGGCTTTTTTCATATAAAATGGGCCAGGCCCTTCTAGCTTATATCTCCCCAAACTACACGGGAATTGGGCAACACCCCAACCTCTTGACTTCTAAAGTCAACAGCTGGGGCCGGCAGCCGAGGCACCCGAGCCCATTCGCCTTTATTGACTCTGAGGTTTTATTAAAAATGTTATGTTTCCTTGAGGTCTGTGCCAAACCCAACAAGAAGACGGGCCAGTGAGGGTCTGGTGGGGCCAGGAGCGTGTTCACTACCTAGAAGACAGCCCACCTTGACCTGCCTTCTCCCACCCCAGTGACCCCCAGAAATGCCTCCACTTCAGAATCTCCACAGAAAGCCCACCTTCTTCCCTTGTACCTACTTAAAGTGAGAGGACATTGACATGCTCTTTTATTCATTCAAAAAATATCAGTTTAGCACCCACTAAAAGGTAGGGAGCTTAGAAATTCAGTCAGACAAAGTCCTCAGCCCCATGGAACTTGCACTCTTCCAGAGAAGAAGACCATGAACAAAAAAATAAATTGTTGTTATGTGCCGTCGAGTGGGACCTGACTCACAGCGACCCCTCCTTGGGTTTCCGAGGTGGTATCACTACAGAAGTAGATTGCCCCATCTTCCTTCTGAGGAGTGGCTGGTAGGTTTGAACTGCCAGCCTTCTGGTTAGCAGTCAAGTGCCTTAGCCACTATGCTACCAGAGCTCCTAACAAATAAATACATCACATGATTTCAGATTGTGCCTTAGTTTCTAGGGCTCCAAAACAAAATGCTGCGAACTGGATGGTTTTAAAGCACAGAAACTTACTGTCTGACAGCTTTGGAGGCTCTGAAGTCCAAATCAGGGTATCAGCCATGCTGATTCCTTTGAGGGATCTGGGAGAGGAACCATTTCATGCCTCTCTCCCCGCTTCCTGTGGCTCCCGGCTGCATCTGGCTCTGTCTCACATGCCTTCTTCCTCTACTTGTCTGTCTGTTCTCCTCTTCTACAGGATACCACCCAGATGGGATGAGAACCCACTCTGAAACAAAAACAAAGCCCTTCGCTGTTGAGCCAACTGACCCACAGTGACCCCATAGATCACAGACTAAACTGCTCTGTGTGATTCTCGTGGCTGCCATCTTTACAGAAAGGAGCTCTGGTGGCGTAGTGGGTAAGACACTTGGCTGCTAACCAGAAGGTCAGTGGTTCAAACCCACCAGCCACCCTGCAGGAGGAAGGTGAGGTGATCTACTCCCGTGAAGATTCCCAGCCTCGGAAACTCAATGGGCATTGCTGTGAGTTGGAATCAACTCATTGGCAGCGGGTTTGGTTTTCATTTTTAAAATCTTCACAGAGCAGCTCACCAGGCCCTTCTGTACAGTGTCATTGGGCGGGTTAGAACCACCAACATTTATGTTAGTAGCAAAGTGCACCACTCAGGGACTTCAGGGCCCACCCTAAACCAAAAGCCCAAACCGATTGCCATTGAGTTGATTTTGACTCATGGTGACCCTATAGGACAGGATAGAACTGCCTCATAGGGCTTCCTTTCATCTTTATAGAAGCAGACTGCCACATCTTTCTCCCACAGAGTGGCTGCTGGATTCCATTTACTGACTTTTTGGTTGGCAGCCGAGTGCCTCACTACTGTGCCACCAGGGCTCTCAATCTTAAAAGACCCTATTCCCAAACAAATTCACATTCACAGGTACCAGAAGTTAGGACTTTAATAAATCTTTTGGGGGGATGGGGACAAAATTCAATCCAAACAGATGGTGATAAGTGCTATTTTAAGCAAACAACAGGATACTGTGAAGGAGGAAGACTGGGAACTGGAGGGCAACATTAGATAAAGTAGTCAGGGAAGGTCTCTCTGAGGAGGTGACCATCAGCATACCCAAGTATCAACTTAGCTGAGTGAAACTACTCAATCATAAAAGGACAAATATTGTATGAGACTACTATTGTAAAAAGTCAAGAGAAGGTTTTCACACAAAAAGAACTATTCTTTGATGGTTACCAGAGGTGGGAGGGGAGAGGAGAGTCAACCACTAACTAGAGGGTAGACAAGTATAAACCTGGGTGAAGGGGAGGGCAATGTACAATGAGGAAGAGGTCAGCACAAAATGATCAAGGAAAGGAAGATGCTGGGAGGAGTATGAGAGTTAAAGGCAACAGAGGTAAATACTAATTCACACACAATCCTGCAATAACAATACTAACCCTGATCAATAATGTATGAGTGAATACATAGATAGACATGCAGGCTGATAGGTGTGGGAAGGAGAATGGGACTATACCCAAATATATATGAGTTTAACAGAGGATTTTTCTACTTATGTATTTACATGTGCTGTAAATATGTCCATGAATATAGTAGAGCATACAGGGGGCAAAGTTATGAAAACTTCTCAGCCATAACCAAACAACCTGAGGGAGTGAGTCTCTGGGCTTGAGGACTCAGGACCATAGTCTCAGGGAACATCAAGGTCAATCGGCACGACACAGGCCTCAAAAACAATGCTCTACATCCTACTTTGGTGAGCAGCAACTGGGGTCTTAAAAGCTTGTGAGTGGCCATCTAAGGAGCAACTATTGGTCTCCCTCTGACCAGAGCAAAGAGTGAAAAAATATCAAAGACGCATGGAAACAATTAGTCCAAAGTTCTAGTGGACCATGCTAACCTCAGAACAATCGGCCACAGAGATCAAAAGAGCAGCTTTTGCCCAGGGATAAAGATCAGAAGGCAGGAAGGGATAGGAAGGAAGGATGAACGGAAATGGGGAAAGCAGGGAGAAAGTGGGAAGGGTACTGTTACATTGTAGAAACTGCAATCAATGTCATGAAACAAAATGAGCATGAATTGTTGAGTGGAAAACCAATTTGGTCTGGAAACTTTCACTCAAATCACAATAAAAAGTTGGGTTTTTTTTTTTAAAAAAAAAAAAAAGATATGCTCTAAAATTTGTGGAAAACTCCAACACCTCACCATCAAAAAGGCAAACAAGTTAATTAAAAAATGGACAGGACACATAAACAGAGATTTCATCAAAGAAGATACTCAGGTGGCCAACATGTTCATGATCATTAGCCATTCGAGAAATGCAAATCAAAACAACAGTGAGCTACTTTCTCACCCCAGCACTAATAGCAAAGTTCAACAAGACAAAATAATAAATGCTAGTGAGGATGTGGAGAGATTGAAACGCTCATACACTGCTGGTGGGACTGTAAAATGGTACAACCACAGTGGAAATCAGTATGGTGCTTCCTTAAAAAGTTGGAAATAGAAATACCATTTGATCCAGCAATCCCGTTACTAGGTAAATATCCTAAAGAAGTGAAAGCCAGGACATGAACAGCTGTTCATCACAGCATTATTCATGATAGCAAAGAGATGGAAACAACCTAGGTGCCCATCAACAGAAGAATGGATATCAAACTATGGTACATACACACAGTGGAATACTATGCGACACTGAAGAATAATATAGAATCTGCGAAACACCCCATAATGTACATGAATTTGGAGGACATTATGGTGAATTAAATAAGTCAATCACAGAAGGACAAATAATGTATTAGTTCACTATTGTAAAAGGTCCAGAAAAGGATTATCTGTGGAAGGAAACTTACTTTTTGGTTACCAGGGATGGGAGAGGAGTGGAGGGAACATTGCTAGATAGGTTGAGACAAGTATTGATTTGGGTAAAGGGAAAGGCAATATACCAAAAGCAAGTGACCAACACAATAACACTAAGGAAAAGGAAGACTCAGAGAGGTACAGACAACACAGATAAACTCTTACATACACAATACTGTGTTATCAGTGATAACAAACATAAATCTATGGGTAAATTAATGGGTAGACGGGCTGAATCATCAGGTAAGTGTAGGCCAAGGGGAGTATACCCATGAGTGTATATAAGGTTGACAGATGATATTAGCACATATGTATTTGTATGTGCTGTAAGAATGTCCATATATATAATAGAGCTAACGAAGGGCAACGTTATGATAACTTCTTAGCCACTGTCAAACACCCTGAGGGAACAAGTAGCTGGATCTGTGTGCTCGGGACCATGGTCTCCAGGGACATCAAGTTCAATTGGCATAACACAGTACACAAAAACATCGTTCCACATCCTGCTTTGGTGAGTAGCAACTGGGGTCTTAAAAGCTTGCAAGCGGCCATCTAGATGCAATAATGGGTCTCTTCTTGTCCAGAGCAAAAAAAAAAAAAAAAAAAATTAAGAAAACCAAAGATGTATGGAAACAATTAGTCCAAGGGACTAGTGGACCATGTGATCATCAGCCTATATGA